CGAATCCCGCCGACGGCGAAAGACCGGGAGCTAGGGCAAGGGGCCGATCCCGAGGACCAGGACCACGCGACCACCCCCTCGACGACGTCTCCCTGTGAGGTGGGGGAGGTGCTGATTGCCTATTTTCAATCCCTGCTCACCCGCGGCGTCGTTTTGGACCGTCTAAATCATAAGGAGCTCGCCTTTGCGTGGTGGGTGCTCGGGCGGGATATGTGGATCGGGGCTCTGACGAAGCCTGGGACTCTTCGGCGGGAGGCGCTCCTGATCACGCTGCGGAATTTCTACTACAGCCTACTCTCCTCAAACCGCAAACGCACCCATCAGGGACCTCGAGGCGAGCAGGAGGAGCCTGCTGAACCCCAGAGTGAGGTTAAGCGAGACCTGAGCAGTGAGTCGGGGCATTTAGGTAAATTAACCACCAACCACAACTACGAGAATGACCCCGAGCGGGATGCTGGGGGGAGTCCAAGCAGACGTCTGGCGGCGACGCTAAGCCTCCCCACCACTCCGTCCGGTGGCGCTTGTGAGGAAAAGACTGATGCGAATACCCTTCCACTTGAAAAGACCCCTGCGTCGGATGGCAGGAAAAAAAGGGTAGAAAAGAAAGAAGAGAAAACCAACGAGACGAAGGAGGTTGGCGATGGACCTCCCACGCAGCGCCTTGCTATGCGGAAGGCACGCGCTATTTTGAACATCCTCGCCGAGATGGAGCAGCCTTCCCCTTCCCCTTCTTCTTCCTCACGGCATCGTAAATCGAGCTCAATATCCTCGGCATTATCTGTGGTGAAATCTTCTACGATGGCGGAGAAACCTACCACTACGCGAAAACGCCTTCGAGGAGGTTTAAAAGAAAAGGAAACGGAGGAGAAGGAAGATCCCAAACTTCAGCCGCAACGTCGACGAACGGCCGCCGCGAGGCGCCCTGTCGTCGAAGCCGCGAAAGACTCTGAGAAGGCTTCGTTACGAAATCCTCCCCACAGCAAGGAAGAGGAAAAGGAAGAGGAAAGGGACAAAAAGGGAAAGACAAAGGAAGGGGAGAAAGAGGAGGAGGCTGGAGGTCCCCCATCCAAAAGACGTTTGACAGCGGTCGATCGAGTCCCTCCCCCCCCCCTTTCCTCTTCTCTTTCGTTTTCTTCCTTTCCGGTTTCCTTTTCGTTTCCCAATCATACTGGCATGATTATCCCAACTGGGCCGTCGGGATTTCAGCGGGAGGTGGAGGCTCGAATCGCGCGGCGGTTTTCCCGATCGTCGTCGTCGTTGTTGGCATTTTTGCTTGCCGAATCGCGTGGGGTGGGCGGGGTTCAGGCGGCGTTGATGGCGTGTATGGTGCGCTGTGGGGTGGACCTCGTGGCGGAAGGATTCGCCCAACGACCCCCACCGCGAAATCCTTCCCGGCGAGGGCTAGAGGACCCCCCAAACGACAAGCAAAAGGGCCAACCCCCCTGTGAGGATGGGGTTTGCAGGGCGCTTGGAGAGCCCGCGTCCTCCGGGGAGAATGGGGCGCTCGTTCATTCGCCTCCCTCACAGGGGTCTTTGCCGTGCTTTGACGACCTCTCCTACGCCCAGCAGTGCCTGCTGGTGTGGGAGGCGGCCGGCCTCCTCCACGCGCACGGCGACGGCCGGGCCGGCCAGGCCGGCCCCCCTAAACCACCCCAACGAGGGAAAAGTGAGCGAAAAGGAAAGGAGGCGGAGAGGTTGACGACGGCACCGCGCATGACTACTCGTCGGATGACCGCCATGGCGGTGCTCAGCGCGGAGAATAGCCGGCAGTCGGTGGAGGAGCCGTCGCCGTCGTTGTTTTATAACAATTCATCCAATCCTTCGTCTTTTTATTCTTCTCCTTCCCACTCTTCAACATATTCTTCTTCATTGTCTCGTAGTTCTTCCGAGGTTTCTCATGCCGCAGATGAGGAGTATTCTGTGAGAGGCGAAAAAGGCCTCCGTGATAAAGGAGACACGACAGAAATAGAGAAATTGGAGCCGAGGAGGTATGTGGATTACTGGAAGGACTTCTTTCTTAGATGATAAAAAAAAAGGAAATAATCACAATTTTCTTTTTTTTTTGCATACTTCTAAGAAAGAGAAGACTAATCTTACCGGAGCCATATACTGTATTCTGGAGCCCCATTTCAGAACGAGGTTATTTATCTTTTTTACACCTTGGCTAAAAAACAACACTGAGTCCTCATTTAGTTAAGTATATATATTCATATACATATATATATATATATGAAAGAGTGTTATTTGAACAAAACTGATATTTTATTTACACATTTATTCCTTCACTTGGTATTTATTTGGTAACATATTTTTTCCCCCGTTTTAGAACACTGGTGAAAGTCATTAGCTCTGTGTCGGAATATTTTTATTATTAGCGCGTGATGCTTCACTTCATTAAGGAAGTCTATAACAATTTATTCTATGACTCGGAGTATTCTATCCTGATTATCGGGCATGAATCAAGTGGCAAAACTACCTTTTTAGAGCAGATAAAGTACATGTACAATCCCAATAGCCCTACCCCTTTGTCCTCCTCAGGGGGTTCGAAACTTTTTAACCTGGCAGAGAAGGCTTTACCCTTTCCAAACCCCGCCCCGCTCTCGTATTTTACCACGAAGTCTATTCGCCCGACTGTTGGCATGAACTTTGAGCGGATTTCTCATTATTTTTCTACTTTAGCATCCAATACAGAGGCCAGAGCTTCTTTAGATGCAAATACGCCTTCTGCAGAGCCCAAAGCGAAAACGAAGAAAGAAAAAAAAGTGCGGACCAAGCTTATTTTGTGGGATGTAGGCGGTCAGCTTTCTCTTCGTGTGATATGGAGAAATTACTACGCGCACTGCAGGGCGGTTATTTTTCTTATCGACAGCACTTTATCGGAAAAAAACGAATTATCGGAAATCAACGACATCGGCAGACTTAAAAAGCGATATCGTGAAAACCATGAAACCCTTCGGGAGTTGTTTGCTCAGCCCGATCTCCAAGGCGTTCCTTTCCTTTTGTTGAGCAATAAAATCGACTCCCCGTTGAGCCTGCCGCTGCCGGAGCTCCAGGAGGCTCTGGGGTTGGTGGATTTGGCCCTGCAAGACGACTTTTACAACCTTGAAGCCGAAAACGATAAATTAGACGCCAAAAAGAATAATTTAGAACTGAAGGGCACCGACGAAAGCCTCACGGAAGTTTACAAAGATCATATCAGCCGGAGTGGCTTCGGTAGGCGAATTGTTAAACTGATGGAGGTGAGCGCGCGGGATGGGAGAGGGGTGGCGGCCGCCATGGATTGGCTCATCGCGCAGCTCATTAGGTGATTCATGGCGTGCAAGGATTTAATAACGCCTACATTATCTACCTATCTATTTATCGATCGATCGGTAGATATAAAGTTTGGGGTACGACTAGCTTCTGTCCATTAAGGCTAAACGAGGATGAAGTACTAGGGCTGGGGAGGTTCAGCGGGTGGGATCGGTATGGGTTCGCATATCGAAAGGGGAGCCGATGGGAGGGAGGTAAGAGTTGGACGTCATCGCAAAACTTACCCTTTCTTTCCTTTCCCTTCTTCTTTTTTTCCTGATGGGTTTAAGTAGCTTGATGTTGGGATTTAGAAGTTGTGTATCATTTTACGTATTTAAATTCTATTTTTCAATGTCCTTCAACTAGTGTGTGAGTAGGCAACTAAACCTCTCTTATTATCTTATTTTTTTTTCCCGTTTACGCTCAAAGATGCCTACACTCTTCTCTTTGAGGAAGCAAAATTGTTTGTATGGCATATTTTGCGTGGATAGTATGATACCCTCATGCCTTTTTCCCTTCGAAAGAAGGGAGGGAAACATCACGATGTTAAACCTCTCTTTAAAGAATTAATTGAGGGAGTAAACGTGGACGTTTTGCATGATTTTACTCTTCAGTTTAAATGTTCAGAATGGTTACTTATTTATTATAATCTGATTTTTTACACTTTTTACGATTTTTATTTCCTATAAATGTCTGTTAATGTCATTCACGTCTTTTCACCACTTTTTAAGATTTTACACTTTATTTTCGATAAAGTTCGATTTGAGTTGTAATACTATTTATTAATATTATTTGAACAGAAATTTTAGAAACTCTCCCCATGAATGCTGGCATTCCTTACGGCAGGGATATGGGCCCTGGGTTGGGCGGGCCTATGTTTAACCCCAAGACGATTCTTTACAGCATGTTATCGAAGGCACCTCACTTCTTAATGAATTCGTTAGATTCCATTATTCTAGGTATTATGGCAGCCTACGTAGTGTTAATCATCTTCCTAGGGGGGTCGAATTTTTTCGTTCGTATCTTCAGGATCGCATTCGTGGTGGGCATAGGGTATGGTCTTGGACGGTTATTACGATTAATTCTTTTCTATAGCGAGCGCATATTTTTATCGTCGTCTTTTGAAAACGTCGAGAGGAAACCTGGTGGAACTGGAAATAATAGCCTGTTGTCGACCAAAACGAGGGCAAAGGATTCCCTTATTACCAATAAGCGCTTAGAAGATGAGTCTAATCAAAGAGTCGTAGAGATGGACTAGTCGATGCGCATTTTCCACACTTAACTATTAAGACAAAATAATCTGCGCAAAACCGATAATAATACTATCACTAATTTTTATAATGCGATTTATTTGTGTTTTACCTTTTCCTACGATACTTACTCTGCTGTGCGTGTGCATTTCCCTACATCATCTTTTATTTTGTGCATAATTTTATTACCTTTTCCGACATTTTTAGGATAATATCAGGACTCCTTCAGAGGACAAGTTTTGTATTTTTTCGAATTCGAATATTTATTTCTAATACTTAGCTATTCTCTGTTATTTATCAATCCTCTTTGGTGCATATATCTTCACTATCATTTGAATTCGGTCAAATTGAGCCTCATACGACCCATAACCTTTTATTGTAGATCTTGTTTAAAATTCCGACGAGGGAAGAAAGCTTTCACGTAATTGATCTAGCGTTTTTTTTCCACACCCAACCATCCCTTTCTCCTGTATTTTATTCTTCACAAAGGCGGAGGGGGGCGGAAGGATTTCTCAGCTCCCACACGTGTGTAGAGAAGCGACGGGTGGATGAACGGCTCCGAAAGCAACCGTCATTACGAGGGGTTCCACTACCCCCGGGGCTACGGCGAGGGGTTGCCCCATCCCAGCGGGTCCCCCTCCTCCGGTGATCCCCGGGTGGCGTCCTCGATCCCTTCGTTGAACCTGCCCGGGGGCTCGACCCTAGTCCGGCGGGGGGTCTACCACCCCAACCCCGGGCCCGCGAGCGAGGGCGGCTACGGCTGCTTCCACCGCCAATCCCAGAGCATCGGGGAGCACAGCGGGTTCGCCCTCAGCGAGACCGGCTCCAACGCCTCCCACCCCTTCCCCCCCGGCGGCCTGCACGCGCGGAAGGGCCCCAATCCCCACGCCATCGGCTCCCCCGTCTGCGTGCGTATCGGGGAGCCGGCGGAGGACCCCGCCCCGGGGCCCACCCACAGCGCCTCCTCCTCCCTCGTGAACGCCGCGGCGGCCCCCCTGACGACCTCCGTCGCCTTCCTCCCCGTGGCGGCGCCGGGGAAGGC